AAGTCCTTTGTGCCCGCCTACCGACTCCCCTCCGCCCGCCCTGGACATCGACGGCCATCCGGCCTACACTGTTCGCCGGATCGTGGACTCCCGTCGGCGAGGTCGCGGTTGGCAGTACCTCGTCGACTGGGAGGGCTACGGTCCGGAGGACCGCACCTGGGTTCCTGGCTCATCCAGGTACATCCTCGTTCCATCCCTGATCGAGGAGTATGAGAGTTCCCTCCCGTCCACTTCCTCGGGACCGCCAAGAGGCGGTCGTTGAGAGGGGGGTACTGTTGGGATCTGGAGAAGTACCACCTTTCTCCAGCAGAGTGTGCCGTGGGTCTCCTGGGCTGGAGCCCTCCTGCACACCTGGATCTCGTCAGCCCATCAGGAGACCTGCTCTACTTAAGCAGCTGCCAGACCTTCCTTCAACGCCGCAGTGTTGACCAAGTTTGGTTAGCAAACCTGAGCCTCTGTGATTACTAGAATCTTTGTCTCCCAAGAGAAAACCCAATTCTAACCTGCCTCTGTCTTCTCACTCACAGGAAACCTGTCTCTTGTCTGAAGCTCTGGATGAGCTTAGCCTGTTACCTGCCTGCCTGCCCTAGAGAGCCAAACCTGAAGATCTCACTCTGGAATCCACTTGCTGCTCTCAGGGAAAGAGCTGATCAGTTAAACCAAGGTCTGTCACTGGAAAGTCAGAAGCTAGACGCTGCAGCTGCTGAGCACTCTGCTGAACCAACAGTCTCTGGACCCAACCGGTTCCCTCTCTCAAAGGAGAAAGCCTGAACCTCTTCAAGGTATTTCCAGAAACATCTGAAACTCAACAATTCACCTGTTAAACTGGCTAATCAAACTATCCGTCTCTGCAGATGCCAGAGAATCCTGCCCGGACCAGTTTCCAGAATCCGGTCCATGTTATTATTGTGAAAGCTTTCAATAAACTCTGTTGAACTTTTTATCAATCTCCAGTGGTGTTCTGCATGTGGGTTTAATCCCTAAACCAACCATTACAGTTATATGATTTTTTTTTATCTAAGGAGGAAGAATATAGATGATGTAAACTGTACTTCACCTAAGTATTCATGCCAGCTATACTATCTCCCATGGTAAAGATTACAGACGCATACCTTAAGTGTAATAGGTCATGGAGAACACTGTAGTGGGGGTAGTGTAGGTACAGTGGTTAGAGCAGTGCGTTTTTGCTCCGAGTTGCAAGTACCCAGTTCAATCCTCACAGCCTGCACTCTGGTTTCCTGAGCAAGACCCTTAACCCCCCACTGCTCCCCAAAGCAATGGGTTAAATGCAGAGATACATTTTTCCAGTGTGAGATCAATAAGTTATTTAGTGAAAATTAAGGCAGAGTTATTTTATGAAAAATGTATATTTGGCTCTGGAAATGTAATAATATACATCAACATCCAATATCTAAAAAAAGACAGAAATATACCACAACTCCAAATCTTCTGAGAAATTACTTTACACAAAAGCTGACAGGCTGGACAGATAGAGAGCATTAATTAAAGAAGAAGCCAAGATGCTCTTGATGATTATGGATTAGTCCTGCAGCTAAGGTCACTTTGTGTATGTTTGTCATGTTTTTGAGTTTAAAGGTCCTTTTGAATTCATGGAAAACCATTGTATTTACTTGATTTGCAATGGCTACTGTACTTTACCCAGTCCTAAAACAAACATGAAAATTTAACGCAGGTGAACTTTACCATCACTCTTCAAACAGTTTTGGGTATAAATTCCCTTCACCTTTTGCAGGAAAAGAAAAAACAAGGACTGAAGCTTTGCTTTAATTTTTTTGTTACTACTCTGTGCCTGGTGAGTAATTCTATTAATATATTCTTTTATTGTGTAGGCTGGGGTTTTTCTATTGATCTGAGCACGTACTCACAAACAATACTAAAAGTAGCACTATGTGACATAATGTTAAGAATTATTATTAATAAACATGCTTGGAGCATCAGGAGTAGCTGTTCTATACGTAAAGTCTAGGGTGGACGCACATCAAGGAGCATCAAAAGGTCCTGCATTCACGCTGTTCTGTGCAGTGCTTTGATCATTTAAACATTTACACAAATCACTCATGTCACAAGCAATGCTTTGGCCCTTTGCTTGATGTGCATTGAGTATGGATAACCAATCCTGCCATAATTAAAAAATACATGAAGAAATAAATATGAAATCATAAATATGAATAGGTGACAAAATAATGGCTTGCAATTTATATTAGTGAACTATGCTTTATTTATAGATCTCTCTCTCTCTTTCTCTCTCTTTCTCTCCCCTATTTTATCTCAACACTTTTCTTCTCATTTTTCATTTAAACAATGAATATTTAGTCTTCGTTTATTCAAGTAAATTTCAAGTCAATGTTAATTTTTCCAAACATTTTTTATTTTCTTTCATATTTTTTAAATATCCAAATATATTTAAAACATGTTTTTCCAAGCTTTATATTATTTTATTCCAATATATTCTGATATTATTTCAGCAAAATTATTTTCCTTAAGCCGTTCATTCCTGTCTCTACATCTTCTAATTTTTCCTCCGACTGTATTTCAGCTGGCTGCTCAGTTTCTCTGTGGGTAGCACTGCTGCCTTGCAGCAAGAAGGTTCTGGGTTCCATTCCCGGCCCAGGGTCTTTCCACATGGAGTTTGCATGTTCTCCCTGACCATGTGTTGGTTCTCTCTTGGTACTCCGGCTTCCCCCAAAAAACATGCTTAACTGTTAGGTTAAAGGAATAGTACACCCAAAACATGATTAGCCCTCATTTTCTACTCACCCCCATGCTGAACAACAACTCTGGAGTACTTTTTTGATATCTCAAATGCATCTGGAGATCTGGGAGGCTTCTTGCTGTCTGCTGGCATTCAAATAATGGAGGTCTATGGCGCCCGAGGCAGAAAGGTCCATAAAAGTCCACAAAAAATGTGTCAATATTCCTCCATACTTCTCGTCCAATGTATTCCAAGTGTCCTGAGTGGGTAGCGTCCATAATTTACTCGAAACGAAGTCATTTAGAATGTTTTTAGAGCATAAACAGTGGTGTATAGGATTTCCTAAAAGCGCGTTCATGAGTCTACGGAAACCGCGGCAGACCAAACAGATGAAAGTGCGCCTTTAGCTCGGCAAAGAACTCATGCTCTTCCTCAACACTGAAGTCCTCAGACATTTTTCTTTCGTTGTTTCTTTCTTTGCACAGTTAAACAGCACATTTCTTCTTCTACGCTTGCATTATCGGCAGAGCAGACACTGAATGCGCACTTTCATCTGGTTTGGTCTGCCGCAGTTTCCGTAGACTCGTGAACTCGCTTTTAGGAAATCCTATACACTACTGTTTATGCTCCAAAAACATTCTAAATGACTTCGTTTTGAGTAAATTATGGACGCTACCTACTCAGGACACTTGGAATACATTGGACGAGCAGTATGGAGGAATATTGACACGTTTTTTGTGGACTTTTATGGACCTTTCTGCCTCGGGCGCCATAGACCTCCATTATTTGAATGTCAGCAGACAGCAAGAAGCCTCCCAGACCTCCAGATGCATTTGAGGTATCAAAAAAGTAATCCAGAGTGTTGTTCAGCATGGGGGTGAGTAGAAAATGAAGGCTAATCATGTTTTGGGTGTACTATTCCTTTAAGTGGCTTTATAAAAAAAACAGGTGTAACAGCATCACCGCTGCAGCCTCTCTCCACTAACTTTACCACTTGTTATCAAGAACATGATGGAAGTTAGCCTTCCAACCTCTATAATGCCAGGCAGAAGCTATTAGCAGGTACTGACCACGGCCAATAAGAGATGAAGCTGCAGCGGTGATGCTGCTCCAAAGGCCACCCCTCCATTTCTAGGTTAACATGTGGAAAAAATAGAGGAGGTAAAAAAAAAAAAAAAACAAGAGGCAGAAAAATATGGTTTATGAGACATCTGTTGAGAATATACTACAGGAATATATTGGATTAAAAAAACTAAATATTTAGAAAATGATATGAAATGTAGAAAAGCATATTTTAAAAAAAAATCGATTTTTGTTATAAGAAAATAAAAAGATTAGGGAAAATAAAACAGCAACATCTTTACTTATTTACTTGAAATAAATAAGTAGAGAAAAAAGTACAGCATTCCAATAAAAAATAAGACTAAATAAAAAAAAATAGAATAAACTTGAAGAGCTACCATAGAAGGTAAAATTAATCATATATATATAGATAGAGAGAGACATTGTATGCTCCAATAAGCGCCACCACACGAGGCAGCAACTGACCTGAAAAATAAGATGATGGCAAAGATGTCCACCAGACACAGATTCAGACGGACCGAATAGTAATGGCGAACCAACCGGACATTGTAGTGGTAGACAAAAAGCAGAGGAAAGCCATTGTGGTTGACATAGCAATACGATCCATCCATCCATTATCTGACAGGCTTGTCCCAATTGGGGTCGCGAGGGGTGCTGGTGCCTATCTCCAGCAGTCAATGAGGCGGGGTACACCCTGGACAGATCAAATAGCAATACCAAGTCAGGAAAAAAAAAAAAAACATTAAAAAACTAGAGAAATGCCAGGGGCTCAGAGAAGAGCTGGAGAAAACCTGCAAGGTCAAGGCATCAGTGATGCCCGGGCTCATTGGGGAACTTGGGACAGTGACCCCCCAAACTTAAAAAGTGGTTACAGCAGATCCTTGGAGATACATAAGACAGACAGAGACATAGACCATCAGAAAGACAGACAGACATTAAATTAAAGATTAAATTCAATTGACTAAACCTTAATCAATGACACGAAAAATTACTCTGAAGTACACAAAGTTGTTCTCAGCTACTGGTTGATAACTCCTTAGCTGAAACTCAGTGCCTGGAATTTTATGCATTTAAGCCAGTGTCTGAGAGGACGCTGAGACCCACTGCAGCCATAAATATTGAAGATCCTGTCCTGAACAGCTAACATATACTAATTCTTTTTAATAACATACCTCTGTTTTGTTGTTCTTCCCATGAAAAAAAGAGGAAACAGGAAATGGGTGGAGAAATTTCTCAAGAGGAAATGCAACCTAGCCTGGACCAGTATGCAAACTCTTTCTTCCAGTCTACACAGTGGAATGGGTTTGAAATCGACATGTGAGTACCTTTGCCACAATACTAATGCTGAAAACATTATTAAAACTTTAACGTTTATAAAGAAAAAGACAGTCCAACACACTCGGGAGAATTAATTTTAAACTTGGAAAAACATTTCAGATCACTTTTCTAACCAGGCTTCTCATGAAGTACAATAAAAATAGTATAGCACCTCCAAGGGGACCAAGATCAGAAACCTAGACTCGATTAAGAGGAGTAGATAAAACTTAAGATAAATAAGAGACACAGACCAGGGAGTAAAGTTTAAATGCCGGCTTGTTTCTGAACATATGGACAAAATACAATGACTTACATTTAACATTTATTGTGGAATAAATCCCTTTTTGTATTAAACCTTTTTAGTTTAATTTTAGGATATTTAATTTCTTTTGGGTCCTATCAATATAGGTTGCAACCTTTTGCTATTTTAATTTTCAGTTCAAGGTCGTTCAAGGTATTTCTCTTTTTAACTCTTTTATTACTGAGTTTAGTTCTATTTATCTCAGCTCTTTTAGTTTAGTATAGGTATCATTGAATTTAGACAAAACGTTGTTTTAGCATTTGGAACCAAACAATGAATAAGACTGCATTAATACAGTATAATGGTGTATGGTCAAGAAAATAAAATACAGTCAAACTGTTACAAAACTCAAAATATTCAGCAAAAGACTGAACAAGTATGTATTCCACAGAGTAAAGTCTCTTCCTTCCGATTCTGCTTGTTTCTTTTTTTTCTCAGAATTATTAGTCCAATGTTATCCACCTGGATCCACTAGTTTGGTGGAAGGTGAAAAGATCCTACCAGTTCAGATATAAACCATGAAACATCCAGCAGTGGGGGCAATCCTGGCTCATGCACAGTTCACACTGTGTCCATAGGGTGGCTCGCCATCTTGGATCTTAAAATTTCCAAATCCAGTGTGTAACCAACAATCCTTCATCCCAACCTAAGTTGGCCAAGTCCCGTTTAATTCACATACACAAACCATCAATACAGAGTCCGGTTGCTTTGCAAAACACCAGCAGCTCAAAACCGAAAAACAAAACAATATCTTCTCTGGAGTGAGAACAAAAATACCTTCTTTGGAGTACCAAAATATACTTTTAGGTTTAGACTCACTTTCTCCACTTGCTTCTCTGCTAATTTTACTGCAGCACTTTGCTTGTGTCTCACCAACATGGGAAATTCCCGAAACGATCTGATTGGATGTAAATTGCTGCAGAGGCTTTAGGAAAAAAATGCCATTCCTAATAGAAATCTACATGGGTTTCAACCATTTAATAATGTAAATAATTGGTTTGGATGTTTGTTTGTTTTTTTTAATCAAATAGTATACAGTAAAATGAAATAAAACTTTTTAGATATCTTTAGATATATTTTACAATATTAACAAATTTACTGACTTTATTTTTATTTTAAGCATTTATTGTTGTTTTTATTAACACTTTGGTGGCTCTGTTAACCTCTGGGTTACAATAGCAAATATAATAATATAAGTATTACTGTGGAGTAAGGAGAGCTCATTTTCATTCAAGAAAAACAGTGACATGAAAGGGGAAAATAACTTTGAAAATAAATATATTAGAGACAGCAACTGTTCACACTGATACCAAAAACTGATATTATTTGAGACTGAAGAAAAATTTCTCCATAGTTAGATCAATAAAGTTCAGTTATTATTATACAGTGAATGGATGTACTTTTAATAAAGAAGAGGTTTGTGTGTAATGATTAAACAGCTATAAACTTGCTTATGTGCCTTGGAGTAGTGGTATGTTCCGTCTAAATAACAAAATATTTTAATAAATAAATGTTTAAAAAAAAAACTATAAAGCTTGCAAAAGCTGCATCTTATCAAACAAAAACTGTTACCTGAGCTAAAATATAATTTCCCATGCAGGTCCCTGGAGAGGTTTTCTGGCTACAACTCTACTGCAGAGCTGAATTCTTACAGAAACCAAGTCTTATACACTGGTGGAGAAACCAATATACCAGCTATTGTGGAGAAACTGGGTAGTCAAGTGGGAGGATTCGGCCCAGTGGCGAACGCTGTTGGATTGGGGGCCCTCGTCATTTCCTTGTTAATAGAGAACGTGGCTGAATCCATGGGGAAACCAACAATGGGTACAGCTGATATACTTCGAAGAGTTTTTGCTGAGGAGAAAGGCAATGAGGTATAACCTGAAAAAACTCTGCCAGTATGAAGAGAGTAGTCTGTTGTCCCAGGTAATGTGTTTTAATGAAGCCCTAACATTTTGATCCTCATTTGCACAGGTGCGAGATCTCATGGATGAATATATGAAGCGTATGATACTCTACTTGAGGCAACAGCAGGACCTGATTTTTCACACCCAGCAGCTACAATCTCAACTTAGCACCCAGCTCACAAGATTACGGGTAATTAAATAATTGATTTTTTTTATCTTCCTTTTTGGTCCCACACTGCCTCATCAAGTCTTTTATGTCCACCCTTATATAAAGCTTAATATTTTTGATGTGTTTGTCACTATTATTGTGTCGTTGTTTAAGTCTCTAATTTGACTGCAGGGGACCTGGGTCTGAATCCTGACTGTCAGGAAGGGGATTTGGTCTAAAACATTCCCAAGTCAATGAAAGAGTCACACTCACTCAATATTTCAACCTCTGAATAAGAGAACAGCTGAAAGGACAAACATTCTTTTAGCGTTTTTACTTTTAATATATTCATCTGATCATAATTAAATCACATTTCTCTACAGGCAGCAGAAAAATTTGTTACTTATTTTGCTTAAAAAAATAAATAAAAACATGATTAGATTAACAAATAGGATACACCTGACCTAGCCTCGTGAGACCATCCTGATCTCGCTAGCTTTCAAGATTTCACTCGTTATCAGTCTGGAGACTGTCCGTTGAAGAAAATTTGGAGCCGTTCACCAAACGAACGTCCAATCAGCGTTGGCTTTGAGGCGGGTTGAGGTGTGACGCAACGAGAAGCGCGACAGTTCAGTCTAAAGAACATGGCGGCTTCAGCCGATGAAACTAGCGTTAGCGTGGCTATCGAGCAAGTTTTATCGGAATTACAGAGTATTTCTTCACTGAAAGAAGAGCAAAACACTGCTCTGGAGGCTTTTCTCAGAGGAAAAGATGTTTTTGCTCTTCTCCCGACTGTTAGGATCCTCAGGCTTGCCCACCAGAGGGCGCCGAGGATCCTCTTCTGCTCTTTCTTGTTTTCTGTTTGGACTGGAGTTACTGTTGGGATCTGGAAACTACCTTCTGTCTCCAGCAGAGTGCGCCGTGGGTCTCCTAGGGCTGGAATCTTCCAGCACACCTGAGACGCATCTACTCATCAGGAGACCTTCCCTTTATAAGCACCTGCCAGACCTTGCTTCTACGCCGCAGTGTTGATCTTAGTTTGGAAACCTGTCGCTAGTCTGAAGCTCTGGGTGAGCTGCCTCACAGGAAACCTGTCTCTAGCCTGAAGCTCTGGGTGAGCTGCCTCACAGGAAACCTGTCTCTAGCCTGAAGCTCTGGGTGAGCTGCCTCACAGGAAACCTGTCTCTAGTCTGAAGCTCTGGGTGAGCTTAACCTGCCAATCAGCCCTGGTGAGCCAACCTGAAGAATCCTATGTGGAATTTACCTGAAGATTCCTATGTGGAATTTACCTGAAGATTCCTATGTGGATATCCCCTGCTGTTCTCTGTGACAAGCTGGAAGCTCAGATCAAGGTCTGCCATGCTAAGTCTGAAGCTAGACGCTTTAGCTCCTCGTGTACTCAGCTAACCAACAGTCTCTGGTCCCAGTCAAGACTTCAGTGAACCAGTTCCAGATCCAGTTTATGATCTTGTGTTTTTGTGCAAACTCAATAAACTCTGTTAAACTTTTACCCAGCCTCCGTTGTGTTCTGCATATGGGCTTGAATCCTTAATCCATCATGACACCGACTGGTTTCGGCAAGAGTAGCCTGGCTTGTGGTTGTGTTTCCGTCGTCGCTCTGTTAGTACATAATATGCTTCGTTGATCTGATTGGTTTCTTTGGCCGGTCTATCACCAACATAGGCCAATCAGCTAACCAGTATTTTTGCTCCTTCCCGAAATTACTTCAACGGAAGGTTTCCAGATGGATATGCGGAGCAAATCCATCTGGCAGAGTCAGGTTACACCTGACCTGCTTACAGCTGAAAATTTTGGATATGTCTGTATCTATGTCTAAAGTCTGTGTGGGCTTTACTGAATAGGCTGGCACTTCAGACTAAGTACAGTACATCTTCACTGACTGCTTTCCTCTTTGGCTTTGCAATCCATGGAAGACTGAGCCCCTTTTTCAAATACATTGTAATGGAGTAAGTCATCTTATAGACTTGAATAGCTTTAGTTTAAGAAAGAGAGACAAACACGGAGATAATTTAATATATTGATCTGATCATAATAATTCAGATTTCTCTACAGGCAGTAGAAATTGGTGTTATTTATTTTGCATACAAAATAAATGAAAAATGATTAGATTTACAATTATGAGACTTGACCTGCCTACAGCAGAGCATATGTCTGTCTTTCTCCCTATCGTCTAGCTGGGCTTTACTGAATAAGCTGGCACTCCAGACTAAGTACAGTACAGCTTCCCTGACTACTGTCCTTTTTTGGCTTTGTAATTTATCCAATACTGAACCCCCATTTCTGACAGATTTTCATGAAGCAAGTCATCTTATAGACTTGAATGCTTTAGTTTTAGGCAGAGAGACAAACACGGAGATAACATCATGCTTGAATAAGAGATCAGTGTGCATAGCTCCTCTTTCTGCTCACCTGCTTGGAGGAGGATTGGAGTCTCTAACAGAAGCTTCCAGACAGAAGCAGTATCTCTACATGAGTGGTTTAATGAGTGAAATGCCAATAAAAGTCAGTTTTTTTTTCACTTTTTCCTATACTTGTAATCACTGCAGGGCACCGCTATTAAAATAGAAAGGATGTTGTTGGCTGAGACACATAAAAATGCTTATTCAATCCAATTCTGATAAATATAATGCCCAGGGATACTGTCTGAATTTCAAGGTACCAAAAGGAAACCTGAAAAAACACATTGACACACATGGAAATAATTATTGCCATCAAGCTGAAGCTGCATTAAAGCAACAATGATGGATTAACATGCCTTGGATTACAATTAAGTTTTGGTTAAAGATAGGGTTGACATAAATGCAGAAAGTAAATTGAACAGAAGTCAGAGTAAGTTCTTAATGTGGTTTAAAATGTGCTTCTTTCAGAACTCCATGCTGATGGATAACCAGATGAGCACTCGGCTTCTTAAACAATGGGTGAACGGAGCTGCCTTTCACACCCAGATGTTGATCCATCTGGCTCGGTTAGAGAGGTCAGATGGAGCCGTAGCAGTTAGAGCAGCAGATATTTACAACAAAGATGTCAACCTTCTTCTGGAGAAATACCACAGTTACCTAAATGATAATATTTATACAGATTTTTTAACTTCTAGGGGAAACCCAAGGCCACCTTGTTGTCTTTTCTTTAAAGAGAACCAGATCCGTACTTATTCAATATTTTATTTTAGGTACCATCCAATTGATTGTCCTGGTACGATATATAAAATTTGCCACATAGGAGGCGAAAGTGAACTAGTTACAGTTTTAATGTCTAAACCCCAAATTAGATGGGCAACAACTTATTTTTCAAACTTGAGAACTAATATTCCAACTCTTGTTCACCAACATGACACATTTAGTATTCAAATGGAATAATGAACAGTCTTGTCTTTTGAGGTTAGACTAGGACTACAGAAAATCCATCCATCAATTTTTAATCACGCTTATCCCTAGCTGAGTCGCAAGTTTGTTGGTCCCCATCTCCAGCTGTCTACAGGCGAGGGGCAGGGAACACCTTTGACAGGTCGCCAGTCTATTGCAGCCTACAGATAATTTAGGTTAAAAATATCTAAAGCTTTAACAAATATATCTGAATTAGAAATAACTTCTAATAATGGGATCTGTTCAAGCAGTTCCTGAAAACAGTTTTGACTTAGAAGACTACACCTTAGACAATAGTAAGCAGAGTCAGTGATGATGGGTGAAAAAACACCAACCATAGTACATTCACTGGGACCAGATATACCATGATATACTTTATATTCACACACAGCTGCACAGCAAAAGAATTCTCAAGGCACGAATGACTGAAGGCGCAGTGAAGACATTCTTCCTGGCAGTGATTGGTTATTTTTGACGAAGAGCTGTGTATTTTTCCTAACAGCACTAGGGCCATTTGAAGAATGCAGAGGAACTTTTTTTTACAAATTATCTGTCTTATATTTGTGCAGTCAGGGAATATTTACACATATGTATTTTTCAAGGTTACAAAACACACAAGAAACCCTGTTGAACTGCTCAGGTTTGAATTGTCTGAGTTAGACCCAAACCGGGTTGTCCTCACAATTTATGCTATAAACCCTCTTTATGCTTTATAAACACACTTTATGCTATAAAGAGTGAATACTGCAAATTAAATGATTACATGCAATCATCTGAGTTTTCTTATATAGATGACCGAACCACAAAATGATCTGATTCAGTTGTCTCAATACATAAAGTGCCTTGACATTACTTGTGTTGTGAAATTTTGCTATATAAATTATCTGGATTAAATTGATCTAAACTGTTCCCTAATAAAGTAAACTGTGAAAATAATCAGTGTTTTGTGATTTATGTTTTGCAATAACAATCTGTTTTCCAAACTATCTCTTGGGTGATCAATGTTATTTCCTTGTTCCACCGGCTCATCCTTCTGTTAGGATTACAGTTTGTGTGGGTTGTTTTTTGTGTTTTCCTCTCTCCACCACCAGGTGGTCCCCTTTCCTCGTTGGGCCTCCCTGCACACGATGGGTCATTACCAGAGGAGTACTTGAGCAGCGGGCAGTCACTACCTCGACGCCAGAGTGTTAGCCAGTATTGGGTACTCTAGCCAACTGAGATTAGCAGAGTCTAACCTTAGTATTGTTTCTGAGTCTGAACTTGTTTTTTGTCTTTGTTGTTCGGCAGGAAGCCTTCCTGTATCACTGGATAAGCCTGGACCTTCTTACCCCCTGGAAGGATTTACTGAGTCTCACTGAGCAAGGGGAAAAACTCCACATGATCCGTTCAAGTCCACTCCGGGAAAACCAAATGACAGTCCGCTCCTTTACTCCTCTGGGTCCAACGTATGTCTGCCTGTCCGCTCTCCAACAACTTCCTTCTTCCCTGGAATAAACACCACAAACTGGATCCAAGGAATAACCAAAAACTCCCTAAACATGGGTGCCTTATCCAGATATATACAAGCCTCAGTCTATTTTCACACAGAACCTGAACTGATCACTGTGATCTCCCCTTCAGAGTTTCCAGTTCCAGTTCACCAGTCCGCTGATGTCCAGC